CTTGCCTCAGCCTCCCAAGTAGCTGGGACTATAGGTGCCTGCCACAACGCCCGGCTGTTTTGGTTGCAGTTGTCATTGTTGTTTAGCAGGTCCAGGCCGGGCTTGAACCCACCAGCCTCGGTTTATGTGGTTGGCGCCCTACTCACTGAGCTACAGGTGCTGAGCCAGAGATAAAACTTTTATATAATAATCATCCACTTACATTTCCTCTGTGACTTTCATTCCTATACCCCATTTTTGTATTGGGATTATAATTATTTTCTTATTGCTTTCTATGAGGTTTTAAAACCACTTCATACACAAACCCATTGTGCTAGTTACCAAGCACGATGCAAGACACATAAGTGGGGCCTCCTTAAATGTGCCTTGGATTCTTAGTTAATTGCCTTGGGGACATTTTAGGAACTAATGCAGACTTTCTAAGAGACTGACTATTTCCTTTTTCCACCCAGGACACAGCTGGGCAGGAGAGGTACCGGACCATCACAACAGCCTATTACCGTGGGGCCATGGGCTTCATTCTGATGTATGACATCACCAACGAGGAATCCTTCAATGCCGTCCAAGACTGGTATGACACTCACTCACTCATTTATTCAGCAAACTGCTCATGGAAACCAAACGTGTACTAGGCCTGTGCTGTGTACTGTGTAAGCCCAGGTGAATGAGCCAGGGCCTCTACCCTCCAGGAACTCACAGGAAAGGGGAGAAGACAGATTTGTAAGCAGGCAATGAATATATAGGCTTAGTGATGAAGAGAGACATCAGGGCCGAAGAAACCCAACAGAAAGCGCTCTGAGCCAGTTTAGGGGATCAAGGAAGGTGCCCTGGAGTTGCTAACATGTATGCTGCACTGTCTAAGATAAACAGGAGTTAGTCCAAGGGATGAATGGATAAGAATGTTCCAGAAAAAGACTACAGATGTGCACAGGAGAGCAGGTAGGATGACACAGGTTGTGAAGGGTTTTGTGTGTTGGAATAGGAGTTTGGATCCTGTCTCATGACATTTGAATTGGAAACCAAGGTTTTAGGAAGATTACTCTAGCTACAGTGGACATTGAATCTACACCGTAGTTCTTCTAAAAGTTTATCCCTGATGTTAACCAGTTTGATGAAAATATTTCAAATTGTATATAAAAACAGCACACTATACCCCGTGACTGTATTAATGTACACAGCTATGATTTAATAAAAAAAAAAAATTATCCCTGAGCTGGGCTGGGAGTCCAAGGGCACATCTAATCCAAGTTCATAAAGGTTTAATATGCAATGGAAATTAGTACAGCACCCCAGAGGTACAACCTCTGAGCAACTGATATCTTCCTTCCTGGGACATTACTCACAGGAGAAGGGAGCGTGAAGGGAAGACTCATGAGAGAGGGGCTGGGAACCTGTGCCCCTTAGATGAGGATGGAGGAAGGTGGAGCTCTTGTTGGCTGTTCTTAGAAGCAAAGAGGCTGAGCAAGCCAGGCATACGGCAGTGGTGCCAGCCAGTGCCAAGCTCCTCTCCTGCTCCCTTTTGCCCAACAACTTTGAGGACTTCCCTTCTCCAAAGGAGCATTTGCTGTGAGTATGTGAAGCTCTGTGGCAACTTGGAGCCTTGGCAGAGTGACTTCACAGGCTGCCTGCTGCATCCCCCGGTTCCAACCAATAGTCCAGGGTGTCACTGGCGTGCCTGTCATTCAGGGGATTCTGTGTCACCCTTTCTGCCTCTAGGTCATCCTCCTCCTCTTCCTCCTTTCTCCCTCTTCCCTTTGAACAACTGCGTCTTCCCTCCACTTTCCTTCTTTCTCCTTTCCTCCCTCTCTTTTCTCTTCCCCTTCCTTTTACTCTCTCCAGCCCTGGTGTCCTCCCCTCACCCTCCCTCTTTCTCCATCCCCTCTCTCCCATCAGGACCTTCGTGGACTGACAAGCTCCTTCTCCACGAGTCTCCACACTGCTCTCTCCCTATTGGCCTTGACCTCTTTCCTTTCTCCATCAGTCTCTGTTTATTCTGCCTCAGGAACACAGTGACTTTAACACCTGGTGACAATTCCTCCAAGAATAACCTGAGCTTGTTGCTAATCTGGGAGCTGAGAGGGAATGGGGTGGGAGGAGGCAGGAAGATGAAAGGAAGAGTAGCGTGTGGAGATAAGAACAGTTGTCTCCAGGTACCTTGAGTCTGAAGACAGAACGTCCATCTCTCTCAAGCCCTGGCCCCTACCTCCCATCCAAGCCCCAGTGCCCGGTAGGGGGTCTGGCTCTCCGTGGGCCCATAACAGATGGTGGTTAAGTGAATTCTATCCTTTGAATGACTTCTCACCACAGATGAGAAGGTTGATGGTGGGATCAGCAAGTCAGTAATAGGTCCAGGTGGCAGTTAGGGTTGAGTCGGTCACAGCAGGTTCAGATTCAAATTCTGCCTCAGGGTGAACCATTCACTGGCTCATTCATTTATCAGACATGCACTGACACCTTCTTGCTCTCTGTTTCTCTGTGCTGGCTGTTGACATCCCAAAGATGAATAAGCTGCCTCTTCCTGTCCTTAGGGGGACACGGATAAATTCAGCCAAGTGTGAAAAATGTGAATGTTCAGGGACCAAAAGGGGAAATAATTATTTCTATCTGGTGGGCTGGTTGGGGACAGATTTAGGCCCATCCTCAAAAAAACATGTCTCCACAATGTAAGAGTCCTATTTTATTCCCAGACATTTTGTTTTTAATGATAGAAGTAATAAATGCTCACCTTCAAAAATGTGAAAAGTAGAAACATTTGAAAAGTATTTTTTTTTAGAGACAGAGTCTCACTT